ATGGTTGCTAATGTTAGAATAATATAACCCACCTTTTTTTATCGAGTCCTTGATAGTTCTGCACTGTTGTAAACGATACGATAACGCTGTAACCCTGTAGAGTTACTTATTATAATTTAATAGCAAAGCTTTCTCGCGATTATGACGGCCTGAATGTGAATTTGAATTTAATATAATGCCTTGAAGAATTTTTAGAATAGATCCGATAGTTTCGGAGTCTTTTTAATGCAAACAATCTAATCTTTATATAATACATATTTGTATTTGTAGATGTGTTTGGGTTTGTTTGGGGTATATTTTTATCCGACAGCAAAGGAAGGATTTTTTTTTTAAATAATAATAAATCTTTATTTCACTTTTAAAATTACAGACAATGGTGACTATTTTAAGAAATTACAAGGAAATTTATGTGAGCCACATCTCTCAAACTAGGGTCAACCTGTATTTTGGCAGTTGCGATTCCTCCAAAATCATTTATTTATATATCCTTGAAACCATTTTTTTTTCAAAGTGATCAAGCTTGTGTATTATTTACGTGTATTCATGCGTGTGTAAGTGTATGTGTGTGTGTGTGGTGTGTGTGTGTGTGTGTGTGTGTGTGTGTGTGTGTGTGTGTGCGTGTGTGTGTGGTGTGTGTATGTGTTTGTGTGTGTGTATGTGTGTGTGTGTGTGTGTGTGTGTGTGCAATTATGTGTACTTATGCGCGTTTTATATTTATTTTAAAAGACTTTCTGTTTCGTGATAATTTAAGGTTAGAAGCTTATTTTGTACTATTGGGTTGGCACAAAAGTAATGAGACACACTAGAAAAATCAATAACATTTCCTTTTTAAAATATTTTTTTTCGATAATATTCTAGAATGTTGTAGAACATTCTAGGTACTTCTGGTGTAGTGTATATAAAGCCGCGCTCGCGATTTGTTTAGTCAGTTTGAAGAAAAATGGACGAGCGACAAGTTCGAACACTATACTTATACGAGTACTTGTTAGGCCACAGTGCGCGGGCTGCGGCTGACAATATCAACAATGCATTAGGCGCTGGAAGTACAAGCCATGCGACGGTGTCCCGATGGTTTGACCGTTTTAAATCAGGAGACAGGAGCCTTGAAAGTCAGCCACGCTCAGGGCGACCACCCGCAGTGAATGATGACGATTTGCGCCGCGAACTGCAGTTGAATCCGGATGCTACCACTCGTGAATTAGCGGAAGCACTTAAATGCAGTCACCACGCCGTGGAACACCATCTGCATGAGCTTGGTTATCGAAAAGTTTTGGCTCGGTGGGTACCGCACATCCTTACAGACGCCAGTCGTGCAGTCCGTGTCGCTATCTGTCAGTCACTTTTGCTGCGACCCCCGACGTAAAGAGTTTTTGTCAGATCTGGTTACTGGAGATGAATCATGGATTTATTACGAGAACGATACACGTCGTGCTTTTTGGCTGCCTCGAGAAGAAACGCCACCAACTCAACCGAAGCCGAGTCAAAAGAACCGCCGAAAAATTCTGCTTTGCTGTTTCTGGGATGCGCAAGGCATACTGTTTTATGAGCTATTACACAATGAAACTATAAACGCTGACAAATATTCAACCCAGCTTACCAAATTATCTGCCGCTATCAAGAAAAAACGACGAAGACGAGTCGATGTAGTTTTACTGCACGACAACGCTCGACCTCACGTAGCATCTGTGGTTCGCCGGCAGTTGGAGAACTTGGGCTGGGAGACGATACCCCATCCACCTTATTCCCCAGACCTCGCCCCATCAGACTATCATTTGTTTAGAGCCCTGAAACAGCATTTGCGGGGTAAACAATTTAATGATTTCTCTGACGTAGAGGCGGAGTTGAACAACTTTTTTGAGGCACAGCCATCAGAGTTCTGGGCAAAAGGCATCCAAACTTTGCCGGATCGTTGGCAAGAAGTCTTAGATACTAATGGTAATTACATCATTGACAAAACTTTTTTTATTGTAATAATAATAAAAAAGTAAAAACTTAAACCAAGTGTCTCATTACTTTTGTGCCAACCCGATATTTGCTTTACTGTGTGTTTTAGTTTGCCATTTATATCATCTGTTTTGTTTATTTTATTGTACAGTTTTGCGCTAAGGGCAGTATATTGGTGTTTTGCCCATGATGTCCTGCATGTATCCTGTGAGCAAACCACAGCTCCCCTTCGTCTATTTGTAGTGTCCGGCTTGTAAGGTAATGATTGGTGCTTTTGAAGGATTATCCTAAGAAAATAGAGCTGTCTTACTGTAAGCACTTGTGTTTCGGAGTACAATTTATCAGTCGAATATGTTCGTTTCCTAAAGGTCATAACTTTAAGAATCGCCCGCTGAGCCCGTTCCAATTTTAGAAGATAGGTTTTGTTAGCACCACCCCAAACAGTTAAACAGTAACTAATAATTGATTGGCAGAGACCAAAATACACCATAAGGAGGGTTCTGTTATCAGCTGAGTGTTTAAGGTTTTTGAAAATATAAATTAGTCTTCTGACTCTTGTTGAAATTGAGCTAATTTGAACCTTCCAGTCAAGCGCATCATCGAGGTAGACACCCAAATAATTTACGTTCTTTGGGTGTCTACCTCGATGATGCGCTTGACTGGATTTAATTATGTTGTATGTATGTTGTATTCTTGATTACATCATATCTTCAGAACCGCTGAATGGATTAAGATAATTGACGTAATGTTATATTTAGCTTAGTAGCCCAAATTTCCTTAGATAGGTAACGTTAAAAAAACGTGAAGCCATTATATTTAATGTTTTTTTTGTTTCATAAACTAAAATGTGGGTGTTCTATTAAAGGGCTTATACAAGAATTCCAAAAAGTAAAATGATGTTTATCTTTATCGTAATACTTATAAAAATAATACAAGGATAAAGTTTTGTTTTTTCACTTTCTGAATCAATCTAATTATAAGTAATTTATCTAACTAAAAAGACAAATAAAATTATAATTAAAATAAAACAAAAAAACCTTCTTGCGTGAAATATACTAACTGAAAAGCTGGAACAAGATAATAAATTTATGTAACATCATACATAATATACAGTCGTAGGCGTGAAATTGATAAGTCAAACCATTCCCTCTTTGTGCATTGCATACATTTATTTATACATACATTTTTCACTCAGGTTAGTTAGTTACGTTAGGTTTATTTTTTAGAAATTTTTCTAACTATTGGATATCCAACAAGATTTTTTAGTTTGTGAAATATGTTCTTAAGTGGTCATCATATTCATTTAAATTTAATTAAATTAATTTCTGATCTCACCGTCTGAAAGGTACGCATACGAGGGTCAAACTGAAAGTTCTTAGAAAATCAAAAACTGATTACATTAGCCAGTTATTAGTTTTATTATATCTTTTCAAAATATTGTCCATTCACGTCAATACACCGCTGCATGCGATGGAACCACTGGGAAAAGCACTTTGCCCACTCGTCCTTAGGGATCTCTTCAATGGCATCGCGATACGCAGCCACCGCTTCTTCAGCATTCATAAACCGCTTTCCTTTAAGTTTTTCTTTAATTTTTGGAAATAAATAAAAATCACAAGGCGCGAGGTCGGGGCTATACGGCGGGTGACCCATTAATTCAACGTTTGATGTCGCCAAATAGTCGATCGTTCGCTTGGCGGTGTGCGACGAGGCGTTGTCGTGGTGAAGGAGGATCCTACTGCGAGGTCGTTTCTCTCGAACTTTTTCCAAGACAAGTGGCAAACAATTGGTAGTGTACCATTCTGCAGAAACTGTTTTTTGATCCTCTAACACAATTGTTGCAAAATGACCTATCCTTCCAAAGAACGAGGCCACCATTTTTTTTCCCGCACTTCGATCTCTCTTCACTTTAGTTGGCAACTCCTCGAAAGGAAACACCCACTGAGCAGATTGTCTTTTGGTTTTAGGATCATAACAGTAAATCCAGCTTTCGTCACCTGTTAGTATGTCGAACACAGCATTTGAGTCACCTCCGTTAAATCTTTCAATCATTTTACGACACCAATCCACACGATGGAGTTTTTGAGCCTCAGTCAAATTATGAGGTATCCACCGGGCGCAAAGCTTCCTGACCGCTAAATGTTCGTGGAGGATTTTGTGCACTTGACTCATACCGATGCCTAAGCTTGTCCGAATCTGTTGATAGGTCACTCTTTTGTCAGTCTCTATCATACGCCGCACAACACAGATGTTATCTTCAGTCGTCGCCGTAGAAGGCCGTCCCTCACGTAAATCATCAGTGAGATTAGTGCGACCACGTTTAAACTCATTAAACCAGTTGTAAACAGTCGCACGAGATGGGGCTTCATCGTGAAAGGCCAATCGTAGTCTATCATAACTTTCTTGTTGACTTAAATGACATCGAAAGTCATAAAAAATCATTGCACGAAAATTTTCTCGTGTTAAATTCATGATGACGTGACAAAGACAATTTTCAATTTGCCGCCAAATCGTAAAACAAATGACAAATGAATGAAATATATACTCAGTAATATTGGCAAAGAGTTATATTTTCAAATTTTAGAATTATTTTTTTATTATATTGTTTATAAGTGGCCAGTTCTAAGAACTTTCAGTTTGACCCTCGTAGTCTTTTATGGAATAAAATTATTACCTAATTTTTTTTCATATTTTCTCTTTTAAACCTTTCATGAACTTCTACAAATATTTCAAAACCAAAATTTAAACAGTCCTTTTATTTTTTAATTTAGCGAAACTAATAAACGTCATTACATTAAATACTTTACAAGATGAGAAAAACACATACCTATTATAAGCTTGGAACATTTATTGTAGTCAAAGAAATGAAGTCACATAAATAATAGTTTTAAGGTCAGTTGCAAAAACGTACATCAAGGTTTAATGACGCCTTTGAGCTCTAATGAATGTCGAATTTGTTTGGGTAATCTCGCTTTAAACTAATGTCAATTTTAATAGATGTTTGTGCAACTATCGATAAGAATATAACATAACAAGCTTTTTTGTTTCCTTCTCAGGCATTGACAAGGCGATCGAGGCAGTCCACCTCGGCGCAGTGGTCTCGTTCGTTTCGGGGCAGCGTGTTGCCGCAGGACGAAACTGATGCTGATGAAGTATTCTTCACGCCACCGTCGACTGCGCAGCTCACACAGCACCACGACGAGGGAGACCAAGTTGATGGACCTAAAGGGTAAGTAGAGATGTAACTCGAGCCCTGTTTTTACTTGAGTCACTCAAGTGAGTTCGTCAAATCATACTTGAAAGAAAAAAAATACTCGTCTCCTTATGCACTCGAGTTACAAAGTCAACTCAGCGCTACGAGTTCAATCTGTTGCCACCAGATGTCACTTCACATAATTTACTTATTTAAATCACTTTATTTTTTTGAACTCAGTTGATTAATTAAATAGACAATAGGTCTCTATTTAAGTATTCTATTTGAACCATTCATTACAATGACACCATTTTAATATAGGTATTTGTTAAAAAATGTTGAAAATATCTCATATGCATTGCGAATTTACAACTCGAATAAGATATTTCACTCGATGACTTCAAAATTCAATTATAACTCGAATGAGGTTGTAATATGGCTCGAGTGACTAGAGTCACAATATCCTATTCGAGTCACAGGAATGAGGGTAAATTACTGACCTTAAAAATGTATCTACAGGTGATCAGAAGACTCGCTTGTACCTTTTACAATGAATAATTACAATGAATAATAATAATGAACAATAAATTAAATATATTCTACATAGTGACATTTTCTTCTGAAACATGATCTCTACTAGTTAAAGTATGATTACAATTTAGCAAAATACAACTCATTACAATTATTTACGAATCTTAAACATATTATGTACCATTTTTTTTTTAAATGGATCTTCAGTGTTGAGCCAAATCTCATTTATAGTTATCGTAACAAAGAAAACCATAACGTAAAATTAATTTTCAGCAGTAATAAATAATATTTAAAATGTTTCCTCAAAATCTTATTAGAAACTCGTATCTGAAACAGAACTTTACAAACAAACATTCAGCTTCAATTCTCATATCTTAATCACAGCGGGGAATATGAAATTACGTAATCGCATTTGATATTGGGTAAGTCAGTAACCTCCAATTTCATAGAGCTCTTATATCTGGTATTCCTTGTGATAGTTGCAGACGATTATATTCCGCCCGAGTAAATAGATGGAAGCGCAACTTTGAGATACGTTCTACATAAGTCAGTAGCTCGGTGGCGTAGTGGATTAGCGCCGCGGCCCGTGATCGTAGTCGTTAAGCAACTTTCGCAAGGGTCGGTCTTGGGACGGGTGACCAAAAAATTATTATCTCGAGCTACTCCGTGCTTCGGAAGGCACGTTAAGCCGTTGGTCCCGGCTGCATTTGCAGTCGTTAATACTCTCCAATCCGCATTGGGCCAGCGTGGAGGGTCATGACCCATCCTCCTTAACCATCCATAAGGAAGGCCTGAGCCCCTGCAGTGGGAACGTAAAAGGGCAGATGACTATGATGATTGATGATGTCAATAATTAATAATGAATTTCTATATATACTGTTAATAAAAATTAAGAGATTAGCTTGGTAGCGTAGTTATAAAGCGTTGCCCGTGATCGTTGTTGGAAAGCAACTTTCGCAAGGGCCGGTTGGGATAGGTGATAAAGAAATATTTTCTCGAGCTATTTCGTGCTTTGAAAAGAATTTTAAGCCGTTGATCGTTGATGATGCTGCATTTGCAGTCATTAATACCAACCAATCCGCATTGGGCTAGCGTGGATGGTTATGACTCGTCCTCCTTAATCGTCCATAAGGAAGGCCTGACCCCATAGCGGGGACGTGAAGATGCTGATAATGGCGTCAATAAAACGAATCCAATACGATTCTCGTTGAGTTATGTAATAAATCACACGTAGATCCTTTGCAAGATAGGTAACTACGTAGTTAAAGTTTGTGTTACTTATGATTATTATGAGATACTATTTTGAATGGAGTTACTGAATTATTCAAACCCGAAATGACTAGATATTATGTCGAAAATACAAGACCTTGTTGTTGTTGTTACCTTTTTATACTGTGATTGTAGCCACAGAAATTTTACAAATTGATGCGACTCAACAGGATACTTTTCCTGTTTTATCGAGTGACGTCATATTTAAAAGCTTTCAGGCTGTGTTTTCACAATCTTGAGGGTGTAATCGAGGTTTTAAATGTAGATGGAATTTTGCAAGGTTTAATTTTTGTTTACTATAACAAGATAAGAGTATTAAAAGTGTTTATTTCACTTAAAAATTGATTAAACACTTTTTGGAAGTTAAATCTCTTGATGAGGAACATAACCAGCCAACATTCGTCTTATGTAAACTTTATGCGTTAATTATAGAGGATTGATGGATGATAATTAAGAAAACCCTAAATCTTTGTTAAGTTCAAAGTATTTACTGAACTATAAAAGAGTATTAAGAATCACAATCGTTGGAACATTCGCAAATGTCATTACCTGAGGCTAAGTTCACTTTTGTGAGTTAACTCCATTAAGGATTGGGTCAAAGTTATCACAAGGAAAATGAATCTCAAACGAGTCGCGTTATTTTTTAATAACACCCGAGAAAAATATTACCTAAAAAAACCCATATTTTGTTATTAGATTTATTTTTCAGATTTGATTAAGTAATAAAGTTGGATTGCAAATTTAATCGGTGTTGATTTTTATATCGAAACCGAACTCTTAACAATATCAATATGTAGTTCGGTGACGCAACGAATAAGCGCCGCTGCGAGTCATTGTAATTGCTTAGCAATTGAATTCGGTTCAGCCTTTTCTGAGATGAGCGTGCACAAAAGCGTGCACAGATAAACAGACAAATCAAAAAAAAAATTGTTTTGTGTTGTATTACGTTTATAAATGACCCTCATAATATATTTTTTTCATATATCTTCTATGTACAGACAAGTTCAGTTACGTTTTTATTATAGTGTACATTTTGTAAAAAAGGATATTTACAAAACTTTTGTTAAGTTAAAAGAATTTGCTAGGAAATATATTGTTGTGAAAAATCCTCTTAAATTAGTAAAATTAAGAATGAAAGTAGGTTACCTATCATTTTCACAGTTACAGACATGGGAAAATCATATTTATAGTTCAACAATAAGATAGCAACTAGCGTGAGGAAAATGTGAATCATACGCTCATAACTCTCAATTCCGATTACATTATTTTACAAGAACCCCGGAACGATATAGATCAAAACGACTCAAAGTTTTATTTAAGCACTAGCTGTTTTCCGGCGACTTCGCTGACGTGAAATATAGCCTATAGCTACGTATGATGTAGATATTATTTCTAAAGATTTCCCCTTTTATTTATTTATTACTTCGAAGATGTTCAGTGAGATATTTTACCTCTTTTAATATTAGTGTACAGTAAAGCTTTTCCTTCCTTGGTATAAAAAAATACATATATTGAGGAAAAACTGACTCCGCCAGAATACAAATTGGAACAGAGTTAAATAATAATAAGCTGCGGGGGACATGAATTGAGTACTACGGAAGTTACAGTGGCAAGTTTGGTGCAAACTTTAGCTAATAATCGTGCTTCAGGCAGAACCGAGGCTCTCATTACAAACTCGTGTTGCGCTTGGCTGACAGATTAATTAGCTACTAATTTACAATTATGTACTGCGGAGCAACTTACTTGATTAGTATGAGAGACTGTCAGATTAGATTATGATTCTGTGAGTGTTTACTGAAATGGTGTTATATTTAGAATTTGTTTTGTTTTCGTTTTGAACAGTGTTAATTTTCACTTAGAAATTTGTGTGTGTGAACTTTTAGAATTTGGTTATATGGGAAAATATTAGCGGGGTAAAAATATATAATAGTAGCTGTTTCTCCCTGACCTTGTCCGCGATAATTTTAGCCTATGTCATCCTCGTATGATGTTGTTTCCTGTAGTTGAAAAATTTTTTAGTTGTCCTATAGTTCTGGAGCATATCTAAAGCAAACAAACAATCGAATCTTTTTCTTGGTAATATTCGTATGTTTATACTGTCTAGTTTTAATTATCAAAATCAAAGTTTTAAGATTTGTCTTACGCTTATTCAAATGATATAGAAAACTTTGTACTATATAAGATTATAGTCAAAGTTTTCACAACGACATATTAAAAAACAGATAAATGTTTTACTTTCTTTAAAAAAAATGTCATTCGTTTAGTAGCAAAACTTGTGTAGAACAATAAAGAACTTTAATATTACCATTAAAGTTTTCTTAGTCTTTTTCTTAACGACAACGACGAAGTCACAAGCTAGGTCCAAAATGTAATCCCGATTAACGATTTCATTGCTTAAACTTCACACCTTCGGTGTATAATCCTAATTTTTAATCATATTAAATATTCGTAGATTTACGAATAATGAATAAAAAATCTAATTACATGATTAAAATTTGAAAGAATATTCTACAGAATTCTTTACTGTTTATTTTGAAAGCACGAATTTTGATGTAGGAATTGAAATTTGGAATTCATCAGCTAATTCGGTCGAAGGATTCTTTCATTTCAATTCGCTCATTCCTTTTGTAAATACTATGTTGAACAGCTAAAGTGAGTTCGCTTCTTAACAAGTCGTCAACTGAAAACGACCTCACTTCTTATGCAGAATGTGTAGGAGTTATCAAATTTACTCCGACCGGGTCGTGTAACAGAAACCTGATCAATACGTCGACGTTTTCCTCATAAGAAATATTGGTGAATTTAATAAATTCACAGAGTTGACTTTGGAGGGAAGTGATAATAATAAATATACAAGACTTATATTTCTGTCTAGATTATTAAAGAATATTAAATACGTTTCTTGTTATTCTTTGCATAATAAATAAACTACGGCAATATATTTACTTGAAATGTGACGTCACACCTTTGTATATTTTCTTGATAATTATGATATAGTGAGCCTTTACTCCTCAACTTAGTGCGTACTATCTAAAGCACTTCATGTTAGATTAAAGCAAAAACTTATCTAGTATTTTAAGGTATTCAGAATATGTACGAACGACAGAATAAACGGAAAAATGTGTGATTGATACTGTACTGCCAGCTGTCGAAAATTTCACCCCTTTAGATGAATGAATGAATGAATGAATGAACCATTAATGTAGATATATGTATGTATAAAATTAAATGTGAAA